AACAAAACAAAAAGTTTTGTCTTTAGTTTTATTTTAAATGTTAATATTCAAGTTCCTGCATAAGCCCAATTGTGACTTTTTAAGATTTGCTCCCTAAACTGTTTTTTGTCATGAATTTGTTGGTGAGGACTTTCTGTTTTATATAGTTACATAATTAGTCTGGCTGAAAAAAGACAAATGTCCATCCAGTTCAACCATAACAAAAAAAAAGTTATAATCCTATACCCACAGTTGATCCAGAGGAAAGAAAAAAAAACAGCAAAGCATGATCTAATTTGTTCCTGCAGGGTAAAAAATTCCTTCCTGATCCCCTGAGAGGCAATCTGATATTCCCTGGATCAACTTTACCTATACATGTTAGTATCCAGTTATATTCTGTGTGTCCATGAAATAATCCAGGCCTTTTTTGAAGCAATCCACTGAGCTGGCCAGAACCAACTCTTGAGGAAGTGTATTCGACAGTTTCACAGCTCTTACTATGAAGAAACCTTTCCATGTTTGGAGATTAAATTTCTTTTCCTCTAGGTGTAAAGAGTCCTCTGTGATGACCTCAGGGTGAATAACTCTACACCGAGTTCACTATATGAACCACTGATGTATTTATACATGTTGATCATTTCCCCCCTTAATCTCCTCTTCTCAAGAGAGAATAAATTCAGTTCCTCTAATATTTCCTCATAGCTAATCTCCTCCATGCCTCTTATCAGTTTGGTTGCTCTTCTCTATACTTTCTCTAGTTCCCCAGTGTTCTTTTTGTGAATTGGTGCCCAAAACTGAACTGCATATTCCAGATGAGGTATTACTAATGATTTGTACAGGGGTAATATGATATCTCTCTCTCTCTGGAGTCTATACCTCTTAATACAGGAGAGGATTTTGCTTGCAGCTTGGCATTACATGCCATTATTAAGCTTGTGACCTACCAGAACTCCCAGATCCTTTTCCACCATTGATTCCCCCAATTGTACTCCCCCTAGTATGTATGATGCATGCATATTCTTAGCCCCCAAGTGTATAACCTTACATTTATCAACATTAAACCTCATTTGCCACATAGTTGCCCAATTAAACAGTGCATTGAGGTCGGCTTGTAAATTGAAGACATCCTGTAAGGATGTTATTCCACTGCACAGCTTGGTGTCATCTGCAAAGACTGAAATGGTATTTTTAATCCCAGGCCCTATATTGTTTATAAATATATTAGACCATTCAGAGTATGAATCATTAACCACTACTCTCTGAATACGATCTTTTAGCCAGTTTTCTATCCATTTACATATGGATTTTTCCAATGGTTTAAGCCAACCAGAATATAACTGTATTGGAGGAAAAGATATGTGAACTGCACAAAATGGATCTTGAACTATTGGCTCTAGGTAGGTAAATATAGTGGACTTAATTATAATACAAAATGTCAGTCAAACTGCATACTTGTGATAATAATCTTCCAGAGTTAAAAATAAATTGGTCTATCAGTCAGCCATCTGCCAAGGGAACTGCCATTTTTGCGCATGGACCCTTCAAGTAAACATGTACATTGTACATAATTTGCTGTCTGTAGCAAGTCTCCTTAGGTGCCTGCACCTAACTTCACAGTGTTACCTGTGGGTTTAATGACTTTTATATGGCTAAGCCAGCTCTCCTCTGCCTTCCATGTGACAGAGCCCAGGCCTTGCACTTAGCTGTTTATGTTGAAAGTGAAATGGCCCTTAGGGTGCCTGCTAAACATATTGACACATAGCTAAATTATCTTATACCAAGTACAGGTGTACTTCAAATCCATGATTAACTACATATACAGGGTGAGCAAAAAACACTCCTTGATTTCAAGTAGTTATAAAATCAAAACTTATTGGAGTATGTTTACAAATACAGTAAATATGGTGACCGCAGAAACAGTAAGTCAAAAATTTCTTTTTTTCCTGTATAATCTTCGTGCACACCTCCCACTGCCAGAGGGCAGTGAAATCCAACATGGTGCTCACCACACAGCATCTCCTGGCATTAATGGAAAATGATGATAACTTGCTGTCAAAGATCATTTTCAGTGATGAGGCAACTGTCCACTTAAGTGGAAAGGTCAACAGGCACAATGTGAGGATATGGGTGAGCGAGAATCCGCATACCACCCTGGAGGTTGAACGTGACTCTCCAAAAATTAATGTGTTTTGTGCTATATCAGAGTGGACTATGTATGACCCATTTATCTTTGAGGGACAAACCATTACTGGCCAAAGTCACCAACCGATACCACATGAAACTTTATGAGTTGATGCAAGTTTGGCCCCATGTGTAATAATATTCCAATAAAGTTACATTATATATCTTTTGGAACTCAAGGACTGTTTTTGTGCTCACCCTGTTACACAGTATATACACTATATATTTATTAAATATATATTTTTCAGTGTTATTTGGAAAACTTTAATGCAATAAATGTGGGTAAACCTATTATATTAATTCTGTGTAGCTTACCACTTAAAGTGCATGTTCTTCTTTGTCAGAAAAATCACCTAGCCTAGTCCCCCTCCCAGTAGAGCAGGTTAAAACATTTCATAAAAGTGAACATGTATGTCTGTTGGAAGAAAATGTATGTGCACGTGTGTGTACATGAACATATACAGCCTTTACAATGGCTGATCTGCTTTCTTTAAAAGCAGACAGCCCGTCCAACTGATTGACTTAGCATGTGGCAAATACGTCATGTAAAGTGAATATGATTTTCATAAACATAGTTTGCATTCTACAGTATTACCTAATTACTTTTTAGATAGGTACAGGTATCATGGTTAGATTTAGAGATGCTACCAATTTTACTGCAAGATCCATTCATAAGCAATATATCCAAAATATGAAGGCTGTATCAGCTGAACTTTCCATCTGAAAATGCTAGTTACTGGCTACTATGCTGATTGCTGTGGATTTAATAATTTTTACTGACTTGAGAAAGTATAAAGATGAGGTGTTCTGACTTCTCCCTAATTTCTATTGATCGTATGCTTGTTCTGGGTCTGTAACTCGGAAGTATTGAAACCAGACAGTGACAGTCAGCTAGCATTTTAGAAAGTGGTAAGCAATGGAAACCTATATCTTTTTCTTAAAGCGGAGCTCCATCCAAAAGGGGAAGTTTCGCTTTAAGTACCGGTCCCCTGCTCAGTGTTAGGAATTGGCACCTTTGGGGAGGGAGGTGGGGTTAGCGGGTACCCGATTTTGATAGGTACTCGTTCCCAGCTCCGCTGTGACCGCCTAGGCAATCAGAAGTGAAAGTTGTCCTCCCCCCATGTCTCCCTGTAGTCTTCTGGGACACCTGATAGGTCCTAGAAGTCTACAGGACCATTCACAAGGTGCAGCACTACTCAAGCATGCAGAGTGGGCACCCAGCTGTAAAGCCACAAGCTGTCACTCCCGGGTGCCCACACTTAGGATGCTGGCATTGGGGAGTGAGGGCAGCTGGTGAAACCAGCAGTGCTGAGTACACGACGACTGAATCATGGGACAGGTGGATTTCACTTAATATTTCATAATCGAAAGGTAGAAATTAAAACTAGCTGGGAAAGTTAACTAGTCTTGCTATTGACAGGAGGAAGAAACACTGGTATATGTGCTATACAAGGATAACATTTGCATTCTATGGAACTTACAGGTATACAAGTGGAGATTTTGAACAGCAAAGAGCTGAACAAACCACAATATCAGCACCATTATGAAATATAGCCAGATAAGCCAGAGGAAGCGAGAGCTGTAATGGTAAAACAATGTATGGGCATTAATATGTATCCAGTGCTATATAACACTTCATATGTATGTGCATGTGTTGGTGTGCGTCCTCTGTACAGATCACATGGGCTGTAAATTTGACAATACATCTGTCTCATTTTAAATTATGCAAAAAGTTATGAAACATTTCCAAAATTTAACATATGTAATATATATGAACATTAAATTCCATAGTTGCCTTAGAAAGGTGGTTACTACAGTATGTAATAATGTAAACACCATCCAAACACTTCTAGTAACAATGAAGCTCATGCATACCAACTGGAGAAAAAAGTGGCAGTGATGCCCAAAGAAACTAGTCACATGTACAGAAATCAAATGATGAATACAGCTTAGTTACTCTGGGCATCAACTTTACTTTTTACTCTTCCAGCATTTGATAATATAACCAGAAATCTATATCATATGTGTTGATTAGTCAATGCCACTTGATGCCAAAGAGGGTTGATGACACCTTTAAAAAACACTACAAACGTTTGTGAATCAGTGAGTAAATTGGCCAACTGTGGGCTAAGTTTATATATAAGATATAAGACATTTTATGAATGTATTACCCTACAGTCCCCCGATTTTGAATATATATATACCCCTATGCCTGGGGAAGCACCTTTGAGTGTTTCCGAAAATCCACTATTATATCAGGGCATGCTGCATGCATTCATATGTAACAATTGGTTGCATTGTTTGTTACATTGTTTAATGCGTTTATTTGATTAGAATCCAGAAGCAAAGGATAGCAAAGCAAGAAGACCCAGTTGCAAGAACACAGAAGAGTTTTGCTGAAGCTAGTGCATCCATAACCAAAGTAATTAAAAGAAGCGCAAGCTATGTTAGGAATCATCGTATCTGGTCAAGTTTAATATTATGATTTATTTTATGACATCAGTTACATTGCCAAAAAAAACTATCTAACTCAAAAACAATACTGTATCTAAAATCCTGCAGTCATCCAAAAAAGAAAATCAGACTTACCAGGGACATGTCTAGACTGCTGGCTTGAAAGGATCTGTTAACTTGTACTTATTTAAAAGTTTCTACAAACTTGAATGACTTCAAAATGTGCCACTCATTCCAAGCACATACTCTTTTCTCTAATTTTAAAAACACTGTTTTCATACTACATTAAAAATCAGAATATTGCCAATGTTTCACAAAAAAAACATATAATAATAATTTCATTATATATGAGGCAATATTATAACCCTATTTTCTTCACCACTAACCTGCCTCAGACACGTTGGCTACTGTTGAACGATCACTAGTTACAGATGGAAGTGTTGACATTTCAGATCCAGGCGTTAAATCTGCTTTACCTGGTTCAACTGCAACCTCAAAGTCTTTGTCTCTGTCAATAAGGTCAGAAAAATTGAAATCTGTAGAAGTCTCATTATCACTAAGACTATCTGAGGTACTTTGACCCGAACCGCTTTCTTCATCACTAGTCAGTACTGCCCAAGAATTTGACTCAGATGTATTTTCCACGGCCATGTACTCCGTCTGGATGCGGGTCTCCAGTAAAGTCATGTCACTCTGCTTCTTAGGTTCAGTGCTTGGGGTTGTAGAAAAGCTTCTTTCTTCAAGGTCTGCACTTATTTGAATGTCCGATGCAGCTGTTGACAAGGCACTTCCTTCTTCTGCTGTCTCACTGAGTTCACTCAAGTTCAAATTATTCTTCACCGATACGGGCTGTATATAACTACTAACATCAGCTACCACACTTTCTTGGGTTTCTGTATGTGATGTGGAATCTGTACTAGCTACAACAAGATAACCATCATCCACTACAGAAGAGCCCGTTTTGGTATCAGAGCTGACAGTAGACAACACATCAGTTGGTGTTTGAGATGTAGCAGTTAACACTGATAATGTGCTAGGACTCTCACTGTTTGGAGAATCAGCTGTAACAGAAACATATACATTTGGTAAAATAATATGACGGAGAACAGAATCTTTAGCTTCAGTATCAAGTGCAGAGGTGGATAACACACTGCCTTTAGAATATTGTGAAGACACAACAGAAATGCCATGCGTAGGATAAGCATATGGTGGAGTATGGTAATAAGGGTAGCATCTTGTTGGGTATTGACAGGCAGCACTGGAGTAGAAACCGCATGAGATTTTGCAGAAAATAAAAAAGGCACAGTATCTACAGGCTGAACAGTTATGCCATCATCATGTGACAATGATACAATTTCATCTGAATTTACATTAGTGAAAAAATGAGGTTCAATGACATTTTCATGCAAGACTGACATTGTTTGCTGTGTGTATGCAGGCTCAACAGAACTTGGGGACAAAGAATTATAAACAGACTGAACATATGTAGAATGCAACAAAGACTCAGCAGTAGCACCAACAGAGGAAGGCAGCAGCAGCAGAGAGCCAGTGTTAGCGCCTATGTGATGGTAACTGGATGTTTCATTCAACTCTCCAACACTGGGCACAGCCAAAGCAATGCTAGTATTAGGCAGCCGTGAGGCCATTTGTGTCAGTGATTCATTGGTGGCTTTTTCTGATGTTTCATGTAAGATTTCCTGAGTTGGCAAAAGAAGCATATCAGTAGAAGCAGAGACAGTTTTTGAGGCTGCAGCAAGCATAGCTCTAAGCAATATATCACCAGAGGTTGTTGTTACAAAATTCACTGGCTCAACAAGTAGCAGATTTTCTGACATTGCATTAATGTCAGCATCAAATTTCCTGACAGTGGGTAAAGACACTGAGTGGATGTCAGGTGAGGTCTGAGTGTCCCTAATTACACTGGATGAAGAAAGGTCTGTCATGACTTCATGATTTGCACCTGGAGCTATTTCACCATAAGTGGAGGTAGTCTGAGATCCAGTGTCATTTACTTTAAGACTTGTGGTAATTGGCTTGCTTTGATTAAGATCAAGTGTGGTAAATTTAACATCAACTATTGTTGCAGCTGAGGTCTCATTATGGCTTTTCAAACCATCTATCCCATCAAAAAAGAACCCACTACCAGAGAATGTTTCTGAGTTCTCCCCATCCTGAATCGTGGAGTGTGTAGGCTGAAGTAAAACATCCTCTGGTGTTATTACAGTACTTGGCTTAAGATACAGTTCAGTGCTAAGCTTTGTTATTAAGGTACCCTGGTGAAACACCCCCACAGAATCATGCAAGAACACCGATGAGTCAGAGGTAACAGCAAAGGATTCTGTGGAAGCCGTATTATTAGACAAAGAATAAGCAGGTTCAGACACCACAGAAAGTGCATGCATCTTTAAATCAGTGCTTGGTGTTTCAAGTTGTGAAATAAACAGAACATTATTAAAGGTGTCACCCCCATGATCAAATGTTAACATCCCAGAAGCAGCATGAGCAGTCTGATGTGGTGTCACATCAGAATGATGTGTTTGGCTTGGCTGAACTAAAACACTGGTATCAGGCAAGGCCAAAGAAACATGCAAAGAAAGTGTATCAGTTGCAACCGTCTGCGTGACTTGTGAAAGCATTTCAGATACTGCATGATGGCGAAACACTTTACTAGCGGAGAAAGCAGAGGAAAATGTGTGCACACGTATGCCATCATTGGAAGACAAGGAAGGTTCGAATGATACATCAACATTGGGAAATACAGGAGTGACATGCAGGGTCGGACCAATATCTGAAGCAGCAGGGGTAGCTTTTAGGAACTGAGTATCAGACAACAAGGGGGTAACTAGAGGAATAACTTCACTAGTGTAGGAGGGTTGAAGACGTATCTCACCATTAAACATTGGTTGTGTTGTCTGAGCGAATACCTCACTCGGTGAAGCAGAGCCTTTTTGTCCAAAGCTTGGGGAGATAGGCTGAAATGTTTCAACTGGGGAAAAAGTAGAAGTTGAAAAGTAGGGTTTCATTATTTCAGGAAGAATAGCAGATGGCTTTAGATCTTCTTTGCTTGGAGAAGAGGACAGTGGTGGTTGTGATGAGGATGACAATGCAATCTCAGATGTAGTAACAGAACTCATGTCTAGCCTCCTCTCATCAGAAGGAACTTCAGGTTGGGAAGTAGCATTAAATGCTTCATATTTCTCATCACGCAGTGTGCTTTTATTGACTTCATAGATGCTAGACTGGATGTTTTCACTGGTATGTTCTTCTGGAGCTCGTGAGGAAACTGGATCTGTTGGAGATGTCTCATCTGATGTAAATGCTGTAGAAAAAGTAGTCAAAGTAGTGACAGAAGTGTCACTAATAACATTCTGAGGTCTCCGGGTAGGCATTAAAACCCTCTTTTTCCAGCTGGTTGTCGTCAGTAGTAGATCATTACTAGCACTGGTCTGGACATCGTTTGCTGAGGGTGATTTGGTAGTGACGGAGTCATTAAGCATCAATATGTCAACCCTGCTTTTTAGCTCTGTGTTTCTTTTGTCTTCATCATCTTCCCTTTGTTCACTGGTTTTCAAAACTTCCTTATGCATATCGGAAGTTGTAGCAACATATGTTTTGGATGTAGCTTGTAAAGTAGGATACAACAAATTCTTAAGACTATCACGCTCATGTAGCTGCAAAGTTTCTGGTGTTGCTTTATATAACTTAAATTCTTCCAAATTATGAACAGTTGGTTCTTGGGTCCCTTGTTCTTGCAATTGATTTTTGGTAATAGTAGTGCGTGAAGTTAATTCATGCATGTTATCCGATTTTCCTTGTATGTCCTCATCGTTGTCCTGCAAAGGAACGCAAAGATTTCATGATTCTTTCAAAGAAAATATATATCCCATACATGTATTTATAGGTAAAATGTAACATAACATGTATAATGCCTTTATCTTCTTCTATTAAAATTAATTTTTTCTTTTGTGACCAGAGGTATCTTAAGCATTAAATTAGAAAGGTTTGCATAGAGTGGACAGGGATTAGAAAACCAGTCAAGTTTTTAAAGCTATCTGTGTCCCTTTTAGGAAGAATCACACTCTCTATTTATCCTGGTGACCAATGTCAAAGAGACTGAAAATAAAATAAAAACCCACATTTGTTGTTACCAGAACAGGAAAGGAGGGGAAATCTTCCAAATGGGACACTGTTCACCCTGGTAACAACATGGAATTTTCCTCCCTTTGGGGGAATATCTTCTCACTTACTGTTGTAGCTATGGGGCAGTAAGGCTCCATTTACATTAGCGTGTCTCCAACATCACATGATTTCCAGTGCGACTTTGGAGAACAAATTAAAGGTGACTTTTGGAGTGACTTTGATCTGACTTTATATTCTCTTGACCAAAGTCGCTTCAAAAGTAGCATCAAAGTAGTGCCGGCACCTTTTCAAATGGGGGTCACTGAAAAGAATGGGCTGCAACTTGTCATGCGACTTTGATGTGTGTGAATAGAGCCTTAGTAGGACACAGATGGGAAAAAAAAATAATAATAACAATAATAATAAGACAGGGGACATAACCATTCATTACTCTTAGTGGTGCACTGAAATGAAAATTCTTGGACTGAAACCAAAACCAAAAATTCAGGATAAATTTGGCCAAAAACCTAAACCGAAATGGACAGTTTTTTAAAAAAAATATATATATTTTTTATATGTAATTTTTTTATATTCAACTTTTTAATTAATATCATGAATTTAAATGAATATTAATGTAATTTCAGCACCTTTCAGCCAATAGGCTGCTTTCGCACTGAGCAGTTTTTGCATTAACACTTTGGGTTAAAAAAGGCACAAGAAAAGCTCAAGAAAAATCTTCCTCCTAGATTGTAAGCTCTAACAAGCAGGGCCCTCTGTTTCCTCTTGTACCAAATTGTATTGTAACTGTAATGTCTACCTTCATTTTGTAAAGCGATACGCAAACTGTTGGCACTATATAAATCCTGTATAATAATAATAATGCATCCCTTTAAATCAATGTATGTGTTCACACTGGTCCATTGCGCTTCCCTTGCGGTGTTAAAATTCCTGATTGCCACATTTTTGGTGCATATTTGGCGAGTTAAAAAAAAAAAACGCACCAAAAAAGCACCTCCGCATTGAGGCCTGGTTCAAACCAATGAGTTTTTTCAGAAACGCACTGCAGTCCATTTAACATGGTTTCCTATGGGACACATTCACATCTATTAGAGCTGCTGCATTTTTGGAAAGGGTCAGGGACTTTTTTAAAATGCAAAATGTTGCGTTTTTGGTTTATTAGACTTCAATGGAGACGCTGCAGAAAAAGCATGTAGTGCATTTTTGACACGTTTTCACACATTTGTCGCGTTTTTGGTGCGCTTTGTGTTTTTAGTCTGCCCAGGAAAAAGTTAGCCAAAGAAAAAAAAGAAAAAAAAAATTCAAAAATCGCAAAACGCATAAAAAAAGTGTCAAAAACACGCATGCAAAAAAGCACTGCAAAACAGACAAAATGCAGACTGCATTGGTGTGAACTGCATTGAAAACCTATCAAAAAAGCACACGTTGCATTTTGATGCTTTTTTTTTGAGTCACATGTCCTATTAAACGTGGTAAAATTGGTAAAATCGTGGGTAGAATCATGGCAAAATTGCACGTGTTCGGCGGCTATTACCGGCACCTTTTTTCTTCTTAGAAAAATGCCTATAACACATTTTTCAGTCGATACATCCCTGCTGCTGATATATAGGTGCATCCCTAATTACTCTGTACACAATTAAACACAAAATATTGGCCTTAGTTCTACTTTCTACTTGTGGACTGTCAAAAATTTACATATTCTTATCAAGTTTAAATAAGCTTTAAAACAAGTCCTTACTGACCTCTGCAGCTGCAGATTCTATGGAATAACTCATTCTCAACTTAAAACTAAAGTTTAATTTTCTTTGTATTCCCTTCCTCTGTTCCTCCTTTCAACAGGTCAATGAAATCTTTCAGTTTTCATTACATACCCTATTACAGTACACTGACTGCATCAGTGGGTCTCCATGCTTCTGTATGCAATGCAGGCAGATCATGGTTGGTGGGAGGGGGATGCAGGGTGCTTTACATAGCTTGCTGAAATGTCACAGCACCCTGCCTTGGTGCTCCTCTCAGAAGTCATTGGCCTTAAAGTTAGCTGTCTCTTGGTAGGATTTGTGTAAATATCAAAATGTCTTTATGACTGGGTGTCAGTCATGAGGAGTGGGCATTCCTAGTCAGACTGGATTTGCTTTGAACTGCCCTAGGTAATGCCCACTTGTAATGCTGAGCCTCCATGATCAAAACACCTGTAATCCAATGAATGAAAGAGGATGGCCGGGGACAATATGACTTGAGAGGGATGAGTTAGATGATGCTGGATGACCTTCAGCCAGGAAATGAGGTGGGCTCTATTTGACAAAAGGGAGCACAAGGGAAGAGCACCACTAGTGCAATAAAAACTTTTATTTTACATGTAATAATTAAAACAAATATGCACTTACATGACCCAGGCAGTGGTGTGTGTCTTTTACAGTCTGTCACATATGTATGGCTATAGTCTGGGTCAGAGACACAACCTGCTACACACCAGTAGAATTCTTCCTCTATTACTAGCAGGCTTACAAGACAGAGCACTCTAGCTCCGTGAATACGCCCTGGCAAACCCAACGTCCCTCTGACAGGGTGAATCATAAGTCACTCCCACACTTCACACAGCGGGTTGCCACAATGACACGTGTTTCCAGGGCGCATTCCCTCTTTCTCAAGTTAGAGACTTGAGAAAGGGGAGATACCGCCAAAACCCGCAGAGGTCATGCAAGTGCATATTTAGTAATTTAGTAATTATTATTTGTTAAATAAAAGTTTTTATTGTGCTGATGGTGTGCTTCCTTTGTGTTCCCTTTTGTGTTCAATAGTATCCTGCATCCCCTTGTGCATTCTAATAGAAACAGCTTCAGATGCACTAGCGCCCATAATGTGTGACTGACTAAAGGACATCCAAAAAATCAGAGTGGAGAAGTTTTTCTTTTGTATGTTCTGTTTTTTGTAGATTCTACTTTCTAATGTAAACACAAAACGGGTACACAGGAAAAGAAAAGAGAGAAAAGTGCTGAGACCCAACCTGAACTGAATTGAGTTTTTTGAGGATGAATTGCTTTACAACGATTGTAACTAAAGAGGTCAGGATGGACTTTTTTTTTTAAAGCTCATCTTGTTAAGAATATGTAAATATCTGAATATCATAAGCCTGGTTACAGTTCTACTTGAATAACTGGGGGCAGTTGTTACAATTACCATACCATTCAATTAAAATGGTAAAATGAATGCTTTCATTTTACTTTGCATGATTAACAGAGCCCCATCTTTCTGTGTGAACCAGTCACTTAAATCTAATAAAAGTTCCTTTATCCTCTCACAAACTGTGGGGCTAGGTGGATTGTTTGTGTCAATGCCTGTAAGTCACTTTTCTGTGCATCTCTAATGACCAGTAGCAGGAGGTAAATGTAAAACCTTTGCAGCGAAGGGGACATTCTTTGGGTAGTGATCAACACTGCAGTTGTACCTAATTCCAGGACAGCCAATCACTAATAGAAAGGCGTGGCATTAGATGGGTGAGCATTAATGAGAGAGCTGGTGGTGGATGGTACATTGTGCCAATGGTGGAACATTTTGAATAGGTTTGCATTGGCACATCCTATTGCTCATACCTGAGCATTGTCAGCCATCTAAAGTAAGTGCACCCATAAGCAGCTTGCTGGCAGGATCATCAGCAATGTTAGGAATGAAAACATGGCTAATTAAAAAAAAAAGGTTTTAGATTCAATATAGTATATTTGTGGTCTAAAATAGGGGTCAGCAACCAGTAGATCATGATCTGCCAGTAGATTTTGGCCAGGTGAGTGGTAGATCACAGTCAGGGCTTGCTGACCCCCCATCCCAGAGTATCAAACAGAGTGAAATGCAGAGGGACATTTTTGTAAAGTTGAGGTTACAGTAGGGAGTAAGAACTGCATAAGTTGATGTATCCTCTGTAGTGCTGGCTCCTACATCCTGTCATGGTTGGTGGGTGTAGCACCTGCCAAGCATGAGCCATTCAAGTAAACAGAGGCCGCTCTGCAAGTGCCCTGTAATCTTGTGCAGTACAGCAAATAAAGGGTTAAACAGGCAGCGGTAAGCTACTTTCTCACCACCTGCTTTAACCCCTTGGACCCTGCAGAAGCATGCAGTTGTGGGGTGCTTGAAAAGTGGCCCCATTTACTTGAATGGGTCTCGACTGACAGGTGGTAGCACCCACTAAAAGCAACACAGGGTGTAATTCCTGCTGCAGCATGTGTACACCTTTGGCTGGTGCCTCAGCAGTTAAAGAGGATAGGGATTGGGAGCAGTAAAACCATGACTCAACTGCAGGGTTTTACCACACCCCAACTTTACATATGAAAGAGCCCTAAGGGTGCCGTTGTCTGATAAAACTAAGGGCTTATTCACAAGTGCAGCAGAAACAGCTGCTCCTCTGCAAAGCGATCTGAGTGTGTTTGACAGGTGATAAGGAGGTGGTATGTTGCCTCCTCTCCACCAGATTTAAACCCATGATTGCCATGCAATGCATATGACTATGACATGGTAGTACTGCAATTAGAGGTTTAAATCAGCTGTGAGGAGGTGACACTGGCTGACACTGTGACCGGGGATCTTTGACTTCCCCCATGCTGTTCAGATAGATTTCCACCTCTTTAACCTCTTTACAACCGTGCTATAGCTGAAAGATGGCTACAGTGTGGCTGTCCAGTTCTAGGACGGCGTCATATGATGTCCTCCCAGAATGCGCCCCCCACGAGCCCCCATCGGCACGCACCCGACGCTGTCAACGATCGCTGTGTCCTATGGACACAGCTCATCACATGTCAAGGTAAAAGGCCAATCACAGCAGCCTTTCACAGAGCAGATCTGCACTGATAATCAGGTCACTGATTATCAGGACACTGTTTATCAGTGCCACCCATCAGTGCCCAGCAGTGTTGCCCAGCAGTAACTAGCAGTGCCACCCATCAGTGCCCAACAGTGTCACCCATTGGTGCCAAGCAGTGCCACCCATCAGTGCCACCAGTCAGTGCTATCAGTCAGTGCTGCCCATCAGTGTCCATCAGTGTCGCCTATCAGCGCGACCTATCAGTACCGTGTATCAGTGCCCATCATTGTTGCATATCAGTGCAGCATCATCAGTGCCTCCTCATCAGTGCCCACCAGTGCCACCTCATCAGTGCAGCCTATCAGTGCCCATCAGTGCTGCCTATCAGTGCAGCCTCATCAATGCACATCAGTGAAGGAGAAGATTTACCTGTTTTCAAAATTTTATAATAGCAACTAAGAAAAACTTTAACATTTTTTGCTTTGTGTAAATACAACATGAGAGTAATTACTATGAATAGATAAAAGTTTGCAATACCACATAAAGTTGCAGTTTCACAGTTTGGTGGAATAAGTCTTTCTTTCATTACTTAAAGTGATTCAAAAGGTTCTTTTCTTTTTGTAAAATAACAAACATGTCTATACTTACCTGTTTTGCACAAAGCAGCCCGAATCCTCCTCTTCTCGGGTCCCACGCAGGCTCTCCTGGCTCCTCCTGTCTGTCAGGTGCCCTCACAGCAAGCAGCTTGCTATGGGGGCACCCACTACTCTGTGTGTCCATTCACACATGGAGCCACGGCTTGCCCCTACCCCCTCTCTCCTCATTGGCTGACTGGATGTGATTGAGAGCAGTGGGAGCCAATAGCTCCCGCTTGCTGTCTCAGGCAATGAGTAGGCCGAGAACTGGGACTGCCGAGGCTGTCGTTCACATCTTTGGATCACAATGGGGCTCAGGTAAGTATTGGGGGGCTTGGGGAGCTGCTGCACACAGAAGGTTTTTTACCTTCATGCATAGAATGGATGATGGTAAAAAACCTTCAGCTTTTACAACCGCTTTAATAAATTTTCTATAATGTGGAGCACCTATTTTGGAATGCCCGATCAGTGATATATCTGTATAATATATTACCTCTATTTCCTCTTCTGTTTCAGTTACATCAATATATGGGTCATTTCCTGAAAAAAGAAAAAAATATATAGCAAAAAAGGAATGTCAATTAACATCACAGCTGAATAAGTCTGTTTAATGGTACAAAACTACATGATGTTTAACAAGTTTAGTTTCAGTTACTGTAGTGATTCCTACTTCAGGGAGAATCCTTATGTAATGCCCTCTAGGAAACTAGGCTTTGTTGTTTTAGATAAAGGCTGAGTAGCAGGGATGAGCCTGGGGGTGAGGCAGCTGTTCACCTCAGGACAGGCTGGGAGGCTCAATAGGTCAGGGCTTCTGGAGCCATCCCACCCTTCCAGAAACTCAGAGAACTTTCTGGAAGAGGGACAGAGGAGGGGAGGAGGCCCAGCTTTGCATGTTTGAGGGAGCTTGACAAATCCCCAAGCAGAGGCCAGGCATGCTGATCAAGGAAATCCCTTAAATTTGGCAGAGCCTGAGCAGTAAGGGAGTCAGGTGTATGATGGATTGAGAGAAGGCTGGAGTGCGGAGCCTGGGAGGGGAGCCTACGTCCAGGCAGGATACTGGAAAGAAGGACCTTCACTGTGCCAAGTCTCTTAGGGAGGACATCCTGTGCAGTAGGGAAGGAGCCATTCCAGGGAAAGTCCTGAAAGCCTACCAACCCACCACACTGACAGGACAGGACAGTGTGAGTACTCCTACACCCCTGGGCCAGATAAAGGGAGAGAGCGGTCTGGTGCAAGACCCAACTAGTTCTCATCTGGGACTATTTAACTGCTAGATCTTGGAATCCCTTGCCCAGGGATACCCTCAGTGCAGCTGGGTGAAGAGGAGGATTCATCTGGGGTCTAATGAGGTATAATAAGGGGACTTCAGTGCTCTTTAACAGAGAAAGTTGCTATTTTTGGATCCAATTTTTCTTATATAGTAAAATGACTTGTATAGTGACTAAGAAGTTTTTCTTCAAGTTTACAGTTCCTGTGCATCCCATATATCCCTAGACCCCATGAAGTTGTTAACCTCTTAATAAAAAAAACAACTAAAAAAAACAGCTCAAGGATTGTTTACTGGATGTGCAAATATGGAAAATGCGTGTTTAATAGCCATGCAGAGCTTGGGGGGGGGCCCAAAACAAATCCAGCAGCCCTTAAGAGGGTAGCACTACACTCCTGATAATAATAAAAAAATAAGTCAACAAAGAACCTTCCTGATGCTTTTTCTTCATTCATTTAGGAATAAGTTGAAGGTAACATAAAAAACTGAATGGGATACGGATGATCAATATCAAGATCAACTGTATTAAGCATGTTGCTTCAAACTTTTTAAGATAGAATGAATACATTTAAATGTTTGTATATTTATGTATTCAATATGTAATTTAGATATAAGGTTGTGGCTACACAACCATACATGGCTTGTTAAAATATGAACAGAATGAGTCAGGCATGCTTAGTTTTTTTCTTCTAACATAAAATGGCATGCTTACGTCAATATATTATTTATAGTGTTTACTGAAGACAGAACCACCAGGGTAAAGTAATAATCTTGCTTACCCTTCATATATTGAAGAACCTTCCAAAATAGCTATTTATTTTAGGATTATGGAACATTAGTGTGTATGTCAGCCTTTTGCATCCTTGGAGGCCAATCTTGGTCATACACATTCTCTAACATTGTATGCAGTTTAATTTAACTATGTAAATTCTCGGTAAATCATTCCTAAAATAATTTCATGCATCCATGAAATAATCATACAAAGAGTAAACAGAAAACGTCTTACCTTCGCATATAGTGGTGTTGAATTGTTCGGAGTTTCACTTATTTAGCAGATACATGTTTATCATGTATTTATCTGCCAGCCTAAAAACCTTCAATGAATTATGCTAAATCCCTATGGAGTGGTGGTAGTACAGTGCTCTTTAACACTTCATATAGCCATGCTTAGTATCACTTAGACAAGCTACAGTCAGTGTGTTTACATTTCAGACAAATTATTACATGATTTATATCTACATGGGAAATAACATAATAATGGTATGAAAAAAATACATTCATAATGAAATGTACGCAAACTACACCATGAACAACAAAAAAGGTGTAAATGAAATTCACACAAAAACACAAAAACCATGTGAATGTTAATTGTTACAACATACATACAGTAGGATTAGCTAGCAATGTATAAAAGGGTCAGTGTTTAGTTCTTAAATAGCTGCATACAATAGACCACACAGGTTCCAAGAACTCTTGGGTTTATTTTCCATGTGCCATTTTGGTGAAGCTAGTTAATTCATGTGTAATCTGGAAGAGACCCTATGCAAAAATTCTAATTTAATTTGGGCTAGTTGATTTTTTTTGTCTATTGTGGCTGTCCTTTAAATCTTACATTTATTTTAAGAAGAATATATTCATAAGATAATAAGGTAATGCAAACACAGTAAGCAAAGTCGCCAAAACATAAATGAATTAGACAACATTTACATATTGCATAGAACCATTAAGCACCTTTTTGTAGTGACTGAGAAGAAAGCGAAAAGAATGGATAGAACACTGCTTTGAAGTGAGGCAGAAAATAAGTAATTTATGCAACCAATTATGACATAATTCTTAGATTCACAGTATATTAATGGATTAATGTTATAATGTCACATAAAATGTTATGAATATGATTATTATGGCTGATGAGATACAACTGAACCTAATGGCGTTGGTAACTTTATGAACACACAAAATGATTAATATTATGAAGCAAATAACAACCACAGTAACAGTTGTCAAAGTGATACATTTTAGCAAATGCAATACAAAGTAATAGAACAACATAGGTTCCATTCCATATTGTATGCTACATTTAAATTCACATTTATAGACTTAATATCCTCTATGCATTATTATTCAATACCATATTTACATGTTACATACTAAACAATCGCCTAGCCACATATAATATTAATGGTATTCCATAAGTACCTGCATCATCGGAAAAGTGCATGTTAATATAAGAGCTGGTCACAATACTGGCAATATTCAACACAAAATTTAGCCAAATATTTTATGTGAATCACAAATATATAATAATTTAATATTGAATGGCTCACAACCACTTGCTAAATTTGTGATGGGTACATACTACTGTACATGTACCTCACTAGACTTTACATTATAGACTAAAGGAATAGTGCATCCTATAATATGGGATGAACTAAAACATTAAGGCAACAACATAACTGAACTTCAGGCATCTTGTGCTGCCTGCAAGTTTGTGAGTTGATCTTTCAGTTGTTCCCTGCTTCTTTGTGGAGCACCTTGGATCAATGGCTCAGGATGTACAAGAAGCCTTGACATCTATCTTAGTCAAGTTTAAGTCAAACTCCCCCTTTACAGTACACTAAGCCCCATCTCCGTCATTTAATATTTGATAGTTCTATGACAGGGATGGGGACAACCAGGAGGGAGGGGCTTAAGCTCAAGCTGGAAGTGGAAGTCTTATTTGCAGCCTGGGTCTGGTCTCTAATACAGGTATTTGAAGGCACTACAATTTACTGCACTGCATGTTAAAAGCATTTTAGGCCAGGTAAGGCCTAACAGTTTTTGAGTTAACTAAGGGACCACTATAGAAAAAATAGTATATTCTGGTAAATGCATGTATGTGGCCAATAACTGAAATTAATAAATTACTTTTTTGTAATCTACGTTTTCTACTTTTTCATTTCAGATGCCTTTTATTATTATTCCTCCATATTTACATGCATACCAAGCTGTCCAGCAAAATGGGAGTTGCAGGGGTTTGGACAAACCAATCCACTCTGACAGGGGTTCTTACAAAACTCATCTTTTATTCATATAGTTTAAAATTTTTTCCAAAAAGAAAAAAAAAGATGTTGTATCTTCTGAAAAGGTATTACCTGGAATTAGGTTTTCATTTGTTTGCCACCTACTGAAGTCCATTTAAAACTACATGTCCATCTAAGACTGCAGCACAAACAGCATTTTCACGCAATTTAAGAAAGTAAACAAATAACAGATTCACTGGCAGGCTTTAAAACTATGTTACAGGGGGGTTTGGAAAAGCAAAAACTGCTGTGTTAATGCTATTGACATGCGGTATCATACTGCATATATCATTTTATATTTTTCCCATAGTTCCAGTATTATATGAATCAAAAACGTAATATATTTCAATCAAAAAATATCAGATGTCCTAATATTTCTAAATCTATAAAAACAAATTGAACCTAGAAACTTATTAGAGGTGGGAACAGTTATCTACTTTACTGCTCATGCTGCATCATGTATGTCTTTTTATATTTTGCCAAAAAGTACACTTCAAGTATTATAGTAACTAAAACCTCAACATATTTCAATTGAAAATGATTATCAGATGTGATTTCTAAATCTATATTTTTTCTACTCTAGAAATTTATTAGATGTGGGGAATTTCTGTCATCTCTGTAATCTAAGAATTCAATACACTGCATTTGTACATGGTTTGTGTTGAAAAGTAAAGCAATAAAATATTATCCAACAAAACAGATAGCATGATCATACAAAAGACTTCAGTATAAACAATTGTTATAGAAATGTTACAAAACATACCTGGCCCATCCAGCATCATGTCAACAACCACCTGGTCACTGCGTTTTCCATAAAGGCTATTGGTGCACATTGCCACAACTTGGAGGACATAACTTGTGTTTGGCATTACATTATATAAAATTGCACCCTACAATGGAAAGCAAATAAAACAGCATTGTAATGTCATGCAATTTCATAGTTATATAAATCAGTAGAATCAGTATGGCTTGTACACATTAGAGAGGACGACATAATTGAAATGACTGAAAATTGTTGTATAAAATATATTCACCATTCAGAAAATTATATTATGTGCTTTGCAAAGTCTATGATAAATATACAATCTTCTAGATAAGACACATTAGTGTTTATTTACTAAAGCTAGAGAGTGCAAAATCAGGCTCACTTATGCATAGAAACCAATTAGCTTCTAGCCTCAGTGTATTCAATTAGGCTTTGGCAATAAAACCTGGAAGCTGATTGGTTTCTATGCAGAATTGAGCCTGATTTTGCACTCTCCAGCTTTAGTAAATAAACCCCATATGTGTTTAGGTTGACAATTTCATATACAAGGCCACAGTTTTCTTTTCACAGAAAGTTTAACAAATAGAATATAATAACAATAATAATTATTGTTTTTATTATTATAATCTGTCACATGAAATGTGTTAAAAATCGTTGACTAGTGTTTTTTCATTATACCTGTAACCGTAGTAAGACTGAATGATATATATACACACTACTGTGCAAACGTTTTCGGAAAAAAAAATGCTGTAAATTATGAATGCTTTCAGAAGTAGGAGTGGCAATAGTTTATTTTTAACATTAACAAAATGGAAAGTGAATGAGCAGAAGAGAAATCCAAATCAAATCAATAATTGCTGTGACCACCCTTTGGCTTCAAAATAGCATACATTTTTCTAGGTACACTTGCACACAGTTTTTGAAGGAACTCAACAGGTAGGTTGTTCCAAATATCTTGGAGAACTAACCACAGGTCTTCAGTGGATGTAGGCTGCCTCAAATCCTTTGATCTCTTCATGTAATCCCAGACAGACTCAATGATGTTGATATCAGGGCTCTGTGGGAGCCAAACCATCACTTCCAGGACTCCTTGTTTTTCCTTTATGCTGAAGATTGTTCTTAAGGACATTGGCTTTATGTTTTGGGTGATTGTCTTGCTGCACAATAAATGTGAGGCCAATCACATGCCTCCCTGATGGTGTGGCATAATGAATAACTATCTGCCTGTATTTCTCAGCATTGAGGACATTGATCCTGACCAAATTTCCAACTCCATTTGCAGAAATGCAGCCCCAAGCTTGCAACAAGCCTCCATCATGCTTCACTGTTGCCTTGAGACACTCATTATTTTAACGTTCTCCATCCCTTCTGTGAGCAAACTGCCTCCTGCTACAGCCAAATATTAAACAATTTCACTCATCGGTCCAGAGCACCTGCTGCCTTTTTTTGTATCCATGTTCCTATGTTTTCATGCATAGTTGAGTTGCTTAGCCTTGTTTCCACGTTGGAGGTATGGCATTTTGACCACAGTTCTTTCCTGAAGACCACTTCTGGCCACATTTCTCTCCCACACCCACCTAAAACTTTTACACAGTACTGTGCATGTATTGTTAGACAGGGTCAATCTGGTTTGTTTGCAGGCTAGCTCGTAAATGTTTTGGGAATTTTTTATTTGTTTGTGATGTGTGTTGCCCTACCATGTGAACCTTGTGTACCATGTGCAAAGGCTAGTTATACATTGGGGTTATTGCCTTTTTTTTTGTTTTTGGGACACATCTGATGCCATCTGATGCCTTCAGCTGCCATTGTGCTCTTCCTGGGTGTCCAATGTGTTCCTGTGCCTTTAACCACTTGTCCTTCAGAGGATTTACATCCCTTCCTGACCAGGCCATTTTGTGCCATACAGCGCTTTTTTATTTTAACTGAAAATTGCAAGGTCATGCAACGCTGTGCATTAATAAAATTTATGTCCCTTTTTTCCCACAAATAGAGCTTTCCTTCAGTGGTATTTGATCACCTCTGCAGTTTTTTTTTTTTGCGCTATAAACAAAAAAAGACCAACAATTTTGAAAAAAAAGAAAAATATTTTTGACTTTTTGCTATAAAACGTTTCCAATAAAAAAAAAAAAAAAAAATCTAATTCCACCATAAATGTAGGCCAAAATGTATTCTGCTGCATGTCTATGATAACAAAAAATCTGTGTGTAAACTAATTGGTTTACGTGAAAGTTATAGCGTCTACAAATGGTGGTATATATACTGGAATTTTATTATTTTTATTTTTTTACTAGTAATGACAGCGATCAGCGACTTATAGCAGGACTGTGGTGGGTATTCTGACACTGGGTGGGAACTGACTAACTGCCACTGACATCCCCAGTGACACCAATACAGTGATCAGTGCTAATAAAAAGTACTGACACTGTACTAATGACACTGGGCAGGATGGGGTTAACATCTGGGGTGATAAAAGGGTTAACTGTGTGCTGTGTGTGTTTTTTACTATGTGTGCTGTGTGCTGTTTTACCAGGAAGACATGCTGATTTGTATTCATCTGCTGTGCAGAGAAATACAAAGCAGCATGTCTATGCTGACAGGAGAGATATCTGTGTTGTTTACACACAGGTCTCTCACCCAGCCAACTTTCCCCGACGATCGCCGGGTGCTGGCGGGGAATCTTCGGCTGGGACCCAGTGATTGACATCCCTAGCTGCCTTTGGGTGCGTGGGTATGGCGGTGCTCGTGTACTCCCTACATGCAAATACAAATCAAATATATATAATATATATATATAAAATCAAATAAATATAATACGTGATTCTGCACAGCCATGCTGCCCTGTAGCAGTATTTCTGCTATAGGACAGAAGGCAAGCGGTTAAGGAGGAGTGGGCTCCCTTCAGGCACACCTGCCCTTAATTTATTCACTGCTAAATATGCTCCAACTTCAAGACTCTCAAAACTATAGAACTAGGACCACAGTATACAGAGGAGCCCTGACGTAGGCACTTCAGTTTCCACATATTGTATATTTGCAAATGTGTGCAACAAAATCCTCTGTTTTAATATGTATTGTTTGATAGGGTCAATTCAGTTAGTTTGTAGGCTAGCTGGTAAGTGTACTGCAAATTTTTGTTTATTTGAGATGTGCATTGCCATTCCATGTGCACCTTACTGCAAAGGCAGTTATAAATTGGGGTGGTTGCCATCTTTTTGCCAATATTTTTGCACCTCTGTTATTTTCAGAGCTTTAGGCAGTGGGAAAGCACTACAAGTGTGCTGATCAGTGCACCCACAGTTCATTCAAACTACAAATGTTTCAGCTGTGGTGTTGGAAGAGACTTGTAGTTTTTCATTCACAGATTCCTGTGACTGAATGATGTGGCTGTGTGAAAAAAAATCTGACAGCTGGTATAGGGAAAAGAACCCCTGCTCACTGTCACACTGATGGAAGCAGTGAAGAGAAGAGAAGCAGAACAAGAATATGTTATATGTTATATGTTAGGGTGTAACATGTAACATGTTCTAAAAGGCAAACTTATCTTTTAAAGAGAAATTATAACTTTTAAAAGTCATATTTTTATTAACTTATTGTTTTTAGTACTAAATTACTAAATGCAGTTTTAGATTTTGTTATTGCGTAAATATGAATTAGTAAATATTTTCATATTAAACATTTAATACTTATCACTTGTAGCCAGCAAGTTGTTAGGTTCATGTAGCAGCAGTAGCTATTTGCAGGCTCATTTTCCCCAGCAGTACTGAATAGCTAGATTAGATTAACAGACTGTTGCAAGGCTTAGAGGAAAGGCATACCCCCTTTCTCTGTCCTAGCAAAGACAGGACCATCTGGCTTCATTAGTCATACACAGGCTGCCAACAACCACGCAGTAAGAGCAGGACCTTCTAAATTCAAAAATCAATTTACAATATATTGTGTAAACTTTAAAAATAAAATAAATGACACTGCTTAAAAAGCAATCACCTTTCACTTTATTTGGATCATGCCACTGTGAAAACAAAAACCAGGCTATGTCATAATAAATGGCTTCATATGATTACTACCCTTAAAAAAAGACAGCTTTTTGGCATAACCAGTCATATTTTCAATATCAATGCCAAAATTGCAAAATGTTTGCCAGGGTACTTTTGAGCACAACTGTATATTTATTTAAAAAAAAACAATGATTTACTTTGATTTCTATGTTTCAGAATTTTAAGAATTTATTTTTTTATCCAAAATGAACTTACTAAATCCTGGTAGCCATCTGTTAGATATTCATGTTTTGTTTGATCTTCCCCCTGTAGTTGTTGATAATAGACTACATATCTCTCAATCACTGCATCATACACAACCCGAGGTCTTTTCCAGGTAATGAGAAGGCTTGTGCTATTTTGTGCTTCGGCCTGGACGTCTTCTGGTTCTGAACTGCAAACTAGGATGGATGGAGAGAGGAAAAGAGATAAACATACATTATTATTATTATTATTATATTATTATACAGGATTTTTTATAGCACCAACAGTTTGCTCAGAGCTGTACATTATAACATTATAATGGGAGACAGTACACGAGACAATACAGTAACAATACGATTCAGTAAACGAGGGGTTCGAGGGCCCTGCTCCTTGGAGCTTACAATTTAGGTGATTTGGATTTAAGAAGTAAAGTGATAACATTACAATTTAGACAGGGGGCACAGTCACAGATAGGGCATTTTTCCTAAAGAAGCAAAAAGCTACAACAAAGAACTCTGCTCCACTCTGGACTGACTGCATGCAAACACATTTGAAAGCATCTCCTACAAGCCTGATTCCTACTACACCTACTTTTTAATATACCCCCTCTACACTTCCTTCTTATATTAGTATCCTCTGTAGTCAAAATCGAATTTCTTTACCCCTCTGCTCCACCCCAAAGCTTGTACATGTCACCCTCACTGCTACCATCTCCCTACTACTGTTCTCATCTTCTCCTGCTAAAACTTAACCTACCTGCTGACCCAAACACCAGAACAGGAAGGCATATGTACTCATATACATCCCTCTCCCATCTTACCCTTCTTGCCCTCCTTCTCCTAACTTCTGGGGACATCTCCCCGAACCCTGGTCCTCCAGTATCTCACCCCCACACCAGGCACCCTCCTTCCTCCTGGAATAGCCACAATCCCCTCAGCTTAATCTGGATACCCCTGCTCCCTAACACCCCCCCTGTTTTCATGTGCATTCTGGAATGCCCGTTCTGACTGTAACAAGCTCATCTCTGTCCATGACCTTTTTTTATCTCCCACTCCCTTCACCTACACAATTACAGAAACCTGGCTTCAAGCATCAAATTCTGCTTCTCCCACAGCACTTTCCTATGGAGGCCTCCACTGGACTCACTCACCCAGACCCAGTGGTCTGAAAGTAGCTGAAATTGGTTAGCTTCTATCCCCACTGAGCATTTTTCAAGTCCTTCCTCTCCCTCTATCCTTCTCTTCTTTCGGGACTCACTGTATTCATCTGTTTTTTTCCTATTTCTCGGAGGATTGCAGTGATCTATTGGCCTCCTGGACCAGTGTCGTGCTTTTTTGATGCCATATCTGCCTGGCTACCCTACTTTCTCTCCTCTGAAGTACCCACTATCATTCTTGGAGATTTTAACATCCCCATTAATGTTAACAGCCCAGTTACATCCCAACTTTTTAACCTAACTGCATCTTATGCCCCAACACAATCGACACAGTCCTCCACTCACTCTGATGGGAATATCTTAGACCTTGTTTTCTCCCATCTCTGCACTCCCTACTACTTCACCAACACCCCCTTTTGTCTCTCTGATCACCACCTCATCATGTTCAAAGTGTCCTTGTCTTCGACCACCTATCCCTCCAAGCAGCAAAAAATACTCCAAATATCACCCAAACCATCCTCTCCACTCCTCCCAAGACCTCCTGCTCTCTAGTTCCCTGGTCTTCTCCTCATGCTCGTCTCCAGAGAGACTTCTCCAGAGCTTCTTCCATCCTTTGGGATTCTCTACCCCAATCTGTCAGGCCATCACCTACTCTGTCCACATTTAGGTGATCCCTGAAAACCTGTCTCTTCAGGGAAGCCTATCCTGCCTACTACAGCTAATAATCAAATCTTCCATTTCTCCCATCAGTTCATTACCCACAGTTATTACCTTTTGTTCCCCTAGCCCCTCCCTGTTAGATTGTAAGAATTGTAACTGCCAGGAGCAGGGCCCTAAGCCTCTTGTATTGAACTGTATCATTGCTGTATTGTCTGCCTTTATATTGTCAAGTTGTGAGCAAACTGTTGGCACTATATAAATCCTGATTAATAACAATAATATATCATTGTTTAAACATGAACATATTAATACACAAATTATTTCTTAAGCTGATTGAAACTAAGGTAAACATTTTTTTAAGATATGGCAGAAATTTTTAAAAAAAAATGCATACGTCTAATACCATGCAAAGGTTTTCCGTTGCAATAAATAAGATACAGTAAGTTCAGTACAAATATATATTTCTCAGTTTTATACAACATCAACATAAAGCTCTTTTAAAGAGAACAGATTCCCTACAATCTAATTTAAAGTGTACAAATACACTCTACTATATATTTGATTTTATTCAGCCAATAAGCAGTGTGGAGAAACATTATGTAAAATTGATTTTAGTGCAATCTGTAATCTACATTTTAGACACTAGATGGCACTGTATAACAACAGATTTATAGTATTGCAAGGCATTGTAAAAAGGACTCCAGGCTCTTAGGGAATATTGATGGAAAATTAGAATTGTCTGACATGCTATGCAGCAGTTTACATAGAATCGAACAACTAGAACAACTCTTGCCCACAGAAGGAGCTTACAATCTACAGGTATACCAAATCTGGCCTATTCGTTCACATACCTATTAACTTGCTTATATGTTAAAGAAACACACAAGCACATTTGGACAGTATCCCTGTTGGTACTCCAAACCAGGGCCCAGAGCTCTAAGTAAGTGCTAACCATTGTATCTGCTATGTTTCATTTGAAAAAGCCCTTCCCTTAGATGCTCATTCACAACAAATAAATTAAAAAAAACCCTCAACCATATGCCCCGATTCCTTTATACTCCCACCATTAGCTCTTGCATAGTATAAGAACAATATACCATTTTATAGAAACTACTCTACATATTGGAAAAAGTCCTTAAATCCCAATCCAATATTTTCTGTAAAAAAAAACTAATCATACCTAGAGTTTTTTTTTTTTTTTTTATATTTAAATATTTATTAAATTTTTCATGTTAATACAAATACCCAAAAAGGGGAATAATTCTCATACAAATAGACATTTATAACATTTCTACCTTTCCCCTACTAAAAACTCTTTTCTTTCCCATCCCACTACCCCCCCCTTCCCGCCCCTCATCCCCCCTCCTCCCCCTCTGCAGACTCTAGCCCATTCTAGTCTCTCGAGGCTTATTAATTTTTTGCTAACATCCTAGTTCATATTTTCCTATATTTCTCTTTCAATCCTGCTTTTTCCCACTTTTCCCATCTCCTATAATAAACTCTCATCCTATCTTCCTGCATATGGTATGATCTTTCCATTCTACCTATCTGGTTTACTCTATTAATCCAGTCTTCCTCCTTCGGTACCTCAGATTTCTGCCAAAACTTGGGTATCAACCCTTTCGCCGCATTCAAGAAGTACCATATACCTGAGTCTTTATATTTATTTACAGATGTCTCCACATTGTGTAGGAGGCACGTCGTCGGGTCTAACCCTATGTCAATTTCAGTTATTTCTTCAATCAATTTGACTATTATCTTCCAAAAAACCTGGATTTTCGGACATTCCCACCATATGTGAAACACCGTGCCTATCTCTCCACATCCTCTCCAACACATATTTGAATTTTCCCCATTCATCTTGTGCTCTACACTCGGTGTAATGTGCCATCGTGTCACACACTTATAATTAATCTCAACCTCTCTCATACTAACATTATCGTGTATCAATCTAAACATCTTTCTCTGTTTATCCTCATCAAACCCAACTCCCATATCCCTTTCCCATTTTGTTATAAAAATTAACTTTGTGTTTGTGTCTAATTCTGTGAGTATTCTATACACTTTTGAAATACCGTGCTTCCCATCCCTTCGTGTTTCTAACAACCTTTCAAACATATTCCACTCCTGTTTTAATCTCAGGGGTTTCGGTAGATTTCCAATAAAACATTTCAATTGATGATATTTCCACTCATTTATTCTAATAAAAATATCTCCCTTCTTCTCTATTAAATCTTTAAGTGATCTCAATTCTCCCTCCACCAAAACATCTCTCAGTTGGGTATCCTCCTTTCTAAACCATCTCCCTGATATCTTATTCTTTCCCGGGGGAAAGTACTCAGTGTTTGTGAGAGGCATTAGTATAGAATTAAATTCCCATTTCATGTTTTTGTGTAAATTGTCCCATACCCTTAAAACATTTAAAGTGTAAATACTTGTGCTTTCTTTAATTCCTCTAAACTGTGGTGGAACCCATATCATCTGACTCAATCTAATGCCACTAAGATCATTTTCAATTGTTACCCAGCTTTTCCCCTTATGGTTAAATGTCCAGTCATATATTCTTGCTAAAACCACTGCTTTATAGTATCTCTTGACATCTGGTAGACCCAATCCCCCTTTCTCTTTAGTCCTACTCAATGTTTCATATGCTATTCTAGGTTTTTTATTCTTCCATATGCATCTTGTTAACATTTTTTTTCATTATCTTAAAGAAGGCCTCTGGAATTTTAATTGGTACCATTTGAAATCTATACAGTATTTTAGGCATAATTACCATTTTGACTAGGTTTATACGTCCTATCCAGGATGGGTTTCCTCCTTCTAGTCTTTTTAAATCTTCCCTGATCTCATTTATCAAAGAGATATAGTTTAATCTATACAAATGCTTAGATGAGGCAGTGAGTTTTATTCCTAGGTATTTTATCTCTTTTTCTCTCCATATAAAGGGGAATTCTTTTTGTAGTTTTTCTTTTTCATTCTTTGATATATTAATATTCAGGATCTCTGTTTTCGTTGGATTAATTTTTAAATTTGATAGTTCACCGTACTCCTTCAGAATCTTCTCATTATATTTGGGAGAGTTATTCGGGGATTCCCCACATAGAACAATAAGTCGTTCGCAAAGGCCGCTACTCTATGTTCTATGGTTTCTATCTGAATTCCCTTTACCGATCCACTGTTCCTTATTATTGACAACAGAGGTTCGAGTGACAACACATATAGTAAAGGGGACAGTGGGCAGCCCTGTCTTGTACCATTAGACATTCCAATGGGTTCTGATCTCTCCCCATTTACCGTGATGATTGCAGTAGGCTCCCTATATAAATTTACTTATCCACTCTCGCATTCTATCACCTATCCCCAGCACTTTTAAGTTGTCCATCATAAA